ATGCACTACTGATAGTCCTTGACCAACAGATGCCTTTATGCAATGCACTACTGATAGTCCTTGACCAAAGTTGAGAACAACATTTATGTTGCTAACCAAGACAGTTGTTAAATGAGTTTCACCCCATCTTACAACCTTTCTTGCCATCGTTGTTAATTGGATAAATGCAGTTGTCGAGCAAATAATCAGGTTGTTAAGTGAATCTTCCACCTTCAGAAGGTCGCAAAAGGGGGATCACATGACCCTGGAACGTTGCAACCGTCATAAGTTCAACATTAAGGTTGATGGCCACCATCATAGGTGATAGCAGCAGATCCCACAAATTAATGATGGGATTTATTTCTACAGTATAATCTGTAAATGTAACATAAATCATAGCCATAAGGTAAAGGTTCCCCTCGCACATACGTGCTAGTCGTTCCCGACTCTAGGGGGCAGTGCTCATCTCTGTTTCAAAGCCCAAGAGCCAGCGCTGTGCAAAGACGTCTCTGTGATCATGTGGCCAGCATGACTAAACACCGAAGGTGCACGGAAGGCTGTTACCTTCCCACTAAAGGTGGTTCCTATTTTTCTACTTGCCTTTTTACCTGCTTTCGAACTGCTAAGTTGGCAAAAGCTGGGACGAAGTAACGGGAGCTCACTTCCATTACTGCACCAGGGATTCAAACTGCTGAACTGCCGACCTGTCCGACCGACAAGCTCAGCGTCTTAGCCACAGAGCCACTGCATCCCTAATCATGGCCATATATTTAAACAAAGAAGGGTTTTGAAATAATATGGTTTCTTCGGTGTATCATAAGAATGGCCAGAACATTTTATCCAGCTTTTGTCCAATATAATCCAGTGTTATTTGGATGCGGATCTAAAAAGTCATTTTAATGCAGAGGCTTGGAAAGAGATTCCTTTTTTTTTTACAAATTAAAATAATCATTTGTTCTTTGAGATGCATGGAGCCAGCCCTGTAGCTATGAAATGGAGATGTTAAGCTTTATTGATTACAAAATCTTTTTTGCTGTTATGCTCTAGCCCAGGGGTCTCTGACCTTGGCAACTGAATTCCCTTAGCTGCGGAATTCTGGGAGTTGAAGTTCTCCAGGCTTACAGTTGCCAAGGTTGGAGACCCCTGTTTTAGCTAACATAAATGACCATTTGACGTTTGGGAATCTTTGCTGACCTTGATTGGCCTTGATTCAGAAAATGTGGTTGGTTTTAACATGTCAGAGTGAGATATGAATAACTCATAGTCCATTGTTTTAAACTTCCACATCTTAGTTTAAAGTCCAAGAATGTATATCCATATCCATATGCCATTTGTCATGGAAATGTGGTCAGAGGCATGAGTCAAATACTTGTTTCTCTTAGAAACAAGCCCATTTGTGAGAATTAACACAAATTTCTCCTGAATTCCCAGATATTCTCTAGTGGCCTGGGCATACGTTCCTTTCAATTACAAAGGCAATTAAAAAAATATATTGTCCAAAGATCAGTCATAGATCAAGATATAATGTGAAACATGTTTTTCTAAGAAACCAACATTTAAAAGTCCATGTAACAGTAATTCAATGGAAATCATAAATCAGTCTAGAAAAGGCAGTTTCATGTGATTACCTTATTCTACTCAATCAAAAGAAGTTGGAATTTAATGCCTTTTTCTTCCCTTTTTCCTCTACCCTCCATTTTATCTTTATTTTCATTTTTTCTTTATATTTTTCTATTTTATACTTGGATAAACTAATAACATTTTGAACTTAATAATGAGGTGATAGGAGGTGAAAGGAATTAGAATAGAATAGAGCTGGAAGGGACCTTGGAGGTCTTCTAGTCTACCCCCTGCTCAAGCAGGAGAACCTATACCATTTCAGATGAGTGACTGTCTAGTCTCTTCTTAAAAACCTCAAATGATGGAGCATCCACAGTTTCTGGTGGCAAGCTGTTCCACTGGTTAATTGTCCTCACTGTTAGGAAGTGTCTCCTTAATTCCAGGTTGCTTCCTTCCTTGATTAGTTTCCATCTTTTGTTTCTTGTCCTGCCCTCTGGTGCTTTGGAGAATAAGCTGACCCCCTCTTCTTTGTGGCAGCCTTTCAAATATTGGAATACTGCTATCATGTCATCTCTAATTCTTCTTTTCTTTAGAGTAGCCAGACCCAAAACCTGCAGCCGTTCTTCATATGTTTTAGTCTCCAGGCCTTTGATCATCTTAGTTGCTCTTCTCTGAACTTTTTCCAAGGTCTCAACATCTTTTTTGTAGTACGCTGACCAAAATTGGTTGTGGTATTCCAAGTGTGGTCTTACTAGTGTTTTGTAAATTGGCGCTAATACTTCACGTGATCTTGATTCTATGGTGATCTTGATTCTATGCCTCTGTTTATTTAACCCAGGATTGTATTATCGTATATTCTGCTGTATAAGGTGACTGGGCATATAAGATGACCCCCTACTTTCAGGCGCCTGCGAGCCGGCTTAAGGCCTCCGCGCTACCGGGCTTTTGTAGTTTGAGCTCAGCGCCTTCCTCCTCCACACCTCCAGCCAGACCTTACTAAGCCATCCCAGCACTCATCCATCCATGTGCCCAGGCAAGGAATGCCGAGGTTATCGACTGAAAGGCCGGCTTCTGAGCTGGTGGTGGTGTTGCTTTTTCTTTTGTTTTGTTTTTTTGGTATGGCCTCTCTTATACCCGGCGTATAATATGACCCCCAATTTTTGAAATAATTTTTTGAGGTTAAAAAGTCATCTTATACGCCAGAAAATACAGTAGCATTTTTTGCTGCTGCTGCACACTGTTGGCTCATATTCAAGTGATCATCCACTAAAACTCCAAGGTCCCTCTCACAGAAGTCATCTTTTACATTGGGCCTTCAGGCCTGACACATTTTCTCCTGTGGGAAAATGGGAGTGGAGATTATATGGAGTGTGGGAGATATATAGTCTAAATAACATTCCTTTCTCAGAGAGTCAAGGACATCTTGCCCTGCACTTGGAATGGCGTGACTGGGAGGCATCTCCAGTTGGGACGGTGCCCGATTGGACCATATGATGGACATTGGGGCAGAACTTTGACTTTCCTTTGGATAGGGAAAACCTGGAAGCTTTCAGATTCAGCATTTCCCAGATGTGCCAATATGGCATCTCTAATAAAATGGAACTTTGAGGAACCTCAAGCTTTGGAGTCTTCTTTCGTTTGGGGGTGTTACTTGGAACCCTGATAGTTACTGTTTTTGAGCCAGGTATCGCCTAAACTGTACTTATACCTTTGGTTTTTCCTTGCCAAATGCAAAGCTTTGCTTTTCTCCACATTAAAATTCATTAGAATTAAAGCACATTAACATTCAAGGAATTGACTCCAAAATTAAATCAGAGTTCAAGGCAAAGTATTCCTCAAAGTTCCAATTTATTAAGAGAGACATGTTGGTACATCTGTTGAAACCCGAATCTGAAAGCTTCCTGATTTTCCCACCTGAAAGTTCATGATCTTGCCCCCACACCCAGAAGTCCATCACATGGTCCAATTTTCCACTGCCACGCTGGCAGTTCCATCATCCAGTTCCGGTCAGGCTCAGAGGTGTAGAGAACAAAAGATGACCTTGGTTTCTAGAAAGGAATTTTATTTTTTCAACAACACATTCTACTCCTTACTATTCCCTCTCCCAATTCCCCACTAATGAAAAGCATAGTAGAAAAGAATATTAGTGTTGCAGGCCAATGATCCTAAAAGGAATATGACTGCAGGCCTGACAGGGAGTTTAGATTGGCGCCATCACGGACCATGGCATTTATGCTATGTAGCACCCTTAAAAACCAGGGTAGGACATGTCTAGCATGTCTGCAAAAAAAGAGGGGAGAAAGAGGGTCTATTTCTCAGAAGAATCTGGACCCCCTGATGCTTTGCTGTAAAAGGAAGAACGCAGCAACAGAAGAGAACATGAAAAGTCTTGTAAGATTGGCATTGACCATGTTCAAGTCCCAACTTCTGTCACTGTGGCAACATGGCATCCGCTTGGTTTCCATAGTTACTTTTACAGCTGCAGAACAAGCTGTGGATACTTTGGGGGCGGATTAAGGGAGGGGGCTTATCTCAAATGGGAGCCGATTTCAGGAGCCAAACAAGAGATAAGAAATACTAAGTAGCGGATGCAGTTCGTTGGAAGAAGAATAGGGTGATTCTGTAATCCCTCCTCTATGCAGGTACCTGAAATAGGATGATGTAGGAACCAGTGTTGTGAAAATACGTGCTCTTCTTTCTCAGTGCACAATGGCAAAGATAGGATGGAAATTAAAGTCACCTATGCCTGGGCAAATCTCAGAAATTAGAGGACGGGAGGAACAGGAGAGCAGGCCATAATTCATTGATTAGGAAACTATTAGAATGTGCAGAAATGAACAGATTAATGCTAGCCGTTAAAGAGAAAGAACAAACTGAATATTATTTAATATGGGAATTATTTTATCAATGGTTAGAGAACAGAAAAGAAAGATGGAAATAAAAGGAGATTAAGGAAGAGCAGAAAATATGTTAAGATAGAGATATAAATAATATGATAATTGTTAGTATTATGATGATAAGTATTATTATATTTAATGTTATTAGTGTTCTGACCTAGGCTTTCTGAGAAAGCATAAATCACACTATTAGTCCCAAAAACGTTCTTTTATTTATACGGCTGTAAATTATCAGTCATTAACAGTCCACAAGGCTCAACAAACAGTCTGAAGATTCCAACAGATGTCTGCTCGAGTTGCCACAGTCTTTCAGGGGAATGTTGAAAAACACCTCCATTATCTCCCTGGGAATGCTGCCAGAGACCTAATTGCCAAATGCAGAGTAAGGCCAAACCTAGCACAGAGTCAAACAGAACTTTCCAAAGTTTGAACCTACCAGATGAACTAATTGCTTCCTGCAAAAGGTGACATCCCGTTCGCTCCTCTTTCATGTCTTATGGGAGGAGTCAATCATCTCCAAGCCTTACTCCCGAGTCAACCCTGTTTTCTTAATTGTTCTTTCCTTCTGGCAGCTCTGTGCATGCGCACACTGGGAACAGGCTCCCATTGTTCTTCTGCCTCGCTGATGTCAGATTCTGGAGGCAGCAAATAACTACCAGATGGCCTTGGTTCCCTCTCTGCCTCTGATGCAGAGCCCTCATCTGAGCCTTCCCAGGCTCCGGGACTGGCCCATGTTCTTCCCCAACCTCCGCGCTGTCCAAATCTGCTGCCAGTTCTGCTGGCTGCTGGCGGGCCACAACAGTTAGCACATTTTTACCAGAAGATATGTTAAGAGGGAAAAATGAACAGGTTTACTATGTTCAGATTCTTAAATTAGAGAATTAGTATCAATGGGAATGATGTTGTAAATTTTGATGGTTCTTGCACAGAGGTATTTGTATTCAGACAACACACTGTTTAAGGAAGGATGGAATGTTTATATTTAAAAAAAACTTTAATAATAAGTTCTCTTGTTCTCTCTCTCTCTCTCTCTCTCTCTCTCTCTCTCTCTCTCTCTCTCTCTCTCTCTCTCTCCATTCCCTCTCTCTCCATTCCCTCTCCCCGCTGGAGCTCTCGGGTTGCCTTGATGCTGACCTTGCCTCCCACGCCCCCCTATCCTCCTCTGATTTAGCTGCAGGAGGGGCCGGCGGTTGACAGCATCCTAAATTCAGGCAGTGTCCTGTTTTTCTTACTCTTTTTATTTATGTATATTTATGTTTGTGTTTTTTTTTTCTTCTCCTGCAGCTTGTGGAGAAACACTGCAAGACAGTCAAGGGAATTTCTCCTCACCTGACTTCCCCAATGGATATTCTTCACACAAGCACTGCATCTGGAGAATATCAGTCACTCCAGGGGAAAAGGTAAATGCTGGTTTAGTTCCCCCTCCCCCTTTTTTAATGGAATCATTCGAACCACCCTACAAAATGCTGGCTCTCTTATTCTTCTTTGCCAATAATGTTTTCTCTTGGGAATTATTGCCTTCAGTGGACGCTGTGAATGCATCCAACCAGATTATTCCAAGCCATACAGGTAGTATTTTTCTTATGACCCCCAATTCAGTTCCACATTTCTGTCGCTAAGTGACACAGTTGTTAAGTGAGTTTTGCCCCATTTCTCTCCAGAGTTGTTAAGTGAGTCACTGCAGTTGTTAATAACACGGTTGTTAATTGAATCTGGCTTCCCAATTAACTTTGCTTGTCAGAAGGTCGCAAAAGGAGATCACATGACCCTGGGACGCTGCAACCGTCGTAGGTTCAAGTCAGTTGCCAAGCACTTGAATTTTGATCACATGATGCTACAGAGGTCATAAGTGTGAAAAATGGTTATCAGTCACTTTTTTCAGTAGCATTGTGACTTCGAACAATCACTAAAAGAATGGTTGTACATTGCGACTTACCTGTAAAAGCTAAATTATGTAACTTATTCTACGTTTTCCTCCCTAATAGATTATTTTTCTAGTAAGAAAAAAAAATAGCAGTAAGAAATCAGAGGTTTCTAACCATTGGTACCATTTGTCCCAGATTTCATGATATTCTGCCCCACCCTTATCTTTTAGCTCTAGAGTCGGTCTGTCCATCTCTGTGCACATCAGTATCTTATTTATTATTTCTTGTTCCGAGGGAGTCTCCTTATTTCTAACCAATGTTTAGAAATGAGGGGAAAAGGCCGGGACAGAAAAACACAGAAAAGTTAAGAATCGGAAAATATGGTATTAAGAATGTGTGATATGTAGGAATTGGGTATGTATTTGTATAATTAGTAACTATACAAAAGAAAGGATCAACAGACAGGTAATCTGACTGACTACATACACCTATGGATATAAAATGTAATTGTTGTAAGATCTAATCATTATATGGAACTGTTTATGTCAGAAATGTCGCACTATGTCCAACGTTTTTAATGTTTATCTAATAAAAAAACTTTAATTAAAGAAAAAAGAAATCATAGGTGAGCTAGTAACAAAAGTATGGTTACGAAGCACTTTGAAAAAGCACATTAAAGATTAGTTGTGGGATGAGAGCCTCATTCATCGAAGTTAAGCCATCTAAAAGATGAACCAACATAACCTAAGATCACCTAACCACAGTTTAAACTGGGTCTGTCAATTCAGACGTCTACTCTCCTCTTACCCCCCCCAAAAAAAGCTGCTGCAGATAACATTATTCTAATGTACTGCAGATGTTTTGCACTTCAATTCCCATAAGCCCCAGTCAGGATGGCAAACAGCGAGGAATGATGGGAGTTGTCCAAAACATATGGAGGACATCAGGCTCCCTTAATCCCAGTCCCTTCCTCTCTTAATCCATTTTTAATATTGCTTCTGGTATCACATTTCCTCATCTTATTTTGAGAACACAGAAAAAAGCAGAGAAACAGCTGGAGGCAGTTCATCATCCTGGAATATAAACCTATTGTAATATTGGGAAGCCGTTTGCCATTGGAAGAAGGGTTCAAATCTACATTAGGTATTTCGTAGGGTTGTTTTTCTCCTCCACATCATTGCAAAGATGTGTACATCATCCTTTCAAACTTCGAATAAGGGGAAGAAATAATATATTGCGTACTTTATGAAGATAGCAGATAGTAACTAACATTTTCTCTGCATAGACTCTTTTGCCATATTTACTATCCCATGCGATGCTGTAATGTAATTCAATGGGATTATCTCTGTTTTCTCTGGCTTGAGAAAGAATATTCTTCCTGGAAAAGCACCCAAATCTTCATGTCTGATTCAAATTCTGAATCAAGCCTAGAGTTTTGGGACCATTTTTTAGATTACGGACTCTAAATTAACTGCTAGTTTGGCCCAGTTTAACTGTCTGGCTCAGGAATGTCTCCAGTCAACTTGTTTTCCACACATAACAAAATAACATAGGGGTAGTCCTTGATTTAACGACCACAATTGAGCCCAACATCTCTGTTGCTAAGCGAGAATCTTGCCCCATTTTACAATTCTTCTGGCCACAGTTTTTAAGTGAATTGCTGCAGTTGTTCAGTTAGTAACACAGTTGTTAAGTGTGTCATCATGACTTAGGTCTGTGATGGGAAACTCCATTAGGGTTGTAAGTTAAAGGACTGTTTGTACTTACTACATTTTGGCATAGAAGAGGAATACTATTTCGGACTTTAGAAAGCAGATTGTTAAAGGTGTACGAGATGAACCAGGCTGAGTCCGAAGAAGGCGTCAAATGTATCATTAGTTAGGTTCCCTTTACATCCACAAGAAATTGGAGTCTGTTCCCCCTTGAATTCCTTATCTGCCGCCAAATTGCTCTGGCTGTTAGTAGTTCAGATTCTTGTAGATGGCTTAAGCTTGCGATAAATCTTTATACCCATTTGAACTATCTGGATCTCGTGATTTCTCTGGCGCTTGACAGAAGGTGACACGTCCCTCAAAATGGTAACTCAGGAAAGAAATAGAAAATACGAATGACAAAGTAATATTTAGGACCTACTCAGGGTGGTGTGACTTCTGCTTGCTTTCTAGATAATTCTGAATTTTACGTCCCTGGATCTATACCGCAGCCGGCTATGTTGGTATGACTACGTGGAGGTGAGAGATGGATTCTGGAGGAAAGCTCCCCTGCGAGGTAATCAGTGAGAACATTGGTGGTCATGCATGTGGCCATATCTCATTGAGGAACATATCTAACAATCAAAACATTTTCCATGCTCATTGATTGACTTCCTTCCCCTTTGCAGAACCAGTTGTGATTTGTGTGTGTGTTTGTTTTCTTTATTTCACGGCTTACAAAAGTTTTGGAGAGCAGGAGGGATTTGAGGCATTAAGTATTTCCTCATTTGTTGAAATATACTGTAGTAATAAAGTTAGGTCAATGTGGCACAGTGGCCTAGAGGTGGCACTCTTGTCTCACAATCAAGAGGCTGGGAGTTCGATCCTAGGTAGGGGCAGATATTTCTCTCTTTGGGCCCATTGAGTAAATATCAACTGCGAACTATGCATTGGCGACAGGAAGGGCATCCGGCCAGTAAACACTCTGTTCCATTCAGTTGCCCCCAACTCCACCCCACAAGGGATTGTCGAATCATTAAAAGACAAAATAAATAGATAAATAAAAGTAGGTAAATCTATTCCGAGATGTTTACCCATCTCTGTACTGGATCATTCCCTAAATACTCATTATTTTCACTTTTGACAGTTAAGACGGCTTCCTTTACAGTCATCTGGACTGAGATAACCTAAATAAGATAAGATTGAATGACTCATATACTAAATGAGCTAAGAAGGATTCAGTGCCTCATTCAAATGCAATTCCCTCTTGATCTGAAAACTGCATTTAATCTAGATTTGTCCCTTTAACTTCGTTGCATTGTGTTTTTTTTGCTGAGCCTTAACTGTTGCTCTAAACTAGGGGTCCCCAACTCCTGATCTATGACCCAGTGCTGGGCCACAGCCTATTTGGAACTGGGCTGAGAAAGGGCTGAGCACACACATGCATGCACAAAGCTGCATGTGTGAAAGTGGCTCATGCACACACGAAACTATGCCCTCACCGCCACCACCTCTTCCTGTCCGCCAAGCCAAAATGGTTGGAGACCACTGTTCTAAATTGTATCATACTTCCCTATCAATGGTAGATGTCAGCCTCTGCTACGCTTACTTGTTATTGGCTGCCATAGAAATGGGGAGGGTGGGGGCATGGTATTTGGGATGGGAATAAATGGTACAGGAGGTGATATGGAAAAGGGAGCTTTCTTCTCACCATCTTCTGCGCATGCTGGTGACCGGTGTTTGGTCCTGGACAAGGCCAACCGTCCTGCATACCAACCTGATGATGCCTTTTGGAGATGCAATCCACATGACACCTAAGGGAATTGCAGATTGGACACTGGGGTGGGGTCGTTGGAGGGAGGGGGCTAGGTTATCATTTGATGTGTACTTGTTCACGCCTTTCTGGCTCAGATCTTGCTTTACTTTCGCTGCTATCTTTTCATAACCAGTAAAAGTATTTTAATTCCATGAACAATGTAGTTGGGAATTTTCTTTCTTGGTTATTGATGGAGGCACGCCTGACAGTATAGTTTGGACAACCAAACCATCTTGTCATAATGCTTCATCAAGACAGTTGCTCTTTCCTGTCTTCATTTTTGAATTTGTCCAAGTCTTTATGGACAACATCGTCAACATCATTCTGGAGTCGTGTCCATGGAGATCCTCAGACATCCAGGTCATGGTTGTCCCAAAGGTGCTTTTTTCAAGAGGCAGTTGGACTTTCTGGTTTTTCTTTGAAGATATTTCGCTTCTCCTCCAAGAAGCTTCTTTGGCATCTTCAAAGAAAACCAAGAAAGTCCAGTTGCCTCTTGAAAAAAGCACCTTTGGGACAATCTGGAGGTGTAACATGTTTTGTTTTGTCTTTACAAATTAAAGCACATAAAGTTGGCAAATATTTAGGCTGTTGGTTTGAGCTCCAAGCCTGGTAATTTGGTTGCAAACACTTCGTCATCATTCAAGGAGATGTCATCAGTGTGCTTTGAAATAAAATGCACTGACGACGCCTCCTTGAATGGTGACAACACATTTGCAACCAAATGCCAAGCTCAGTGTTCAAACCAGAAGGCTA